AGAAAATGAATATCAATTATTATTTAATTATCTTCAAACATCAAATTGTACAAATACAACAAAATATCAATGTATTTATTTATCATGTATTGAAAATGATCCATGGTATTATACATTACCTCAAATACAACTTCGATTAAATATGATTCGTAATCAATCATCAACAAATGATCGATGTTTAATGAAATATAATAATTCTAATTTTCATGCACAAATATGTTCTGTTTTAATTGAACAATTTCATATAACTGAAGAAATTTTATTATCAACTCCAATAACTTCATTAACAACGAATGAATGTATAAATTTTGGTGGACAATGTATTCCTGATTCATTGATAATGTCATCATCAATGCAATTTACCGATAGTAATTTAACTTGTCCAACAGGATTCATTTGTTGGTTACAAGGTAAATTTTTTGTTCTCGAAATGAAAATATCTAAATAAAAAAATAATTTCATTTATGAAAGATCACCCCTGCAAGTCACAGTATGCATGTACGCAGATAGTTGGCTAAAATTCGAAAATCATGCTTTTTCAAAATTTAAATATAGGGAAATTTACTTCAAAATATAGTCTACCTAATGATATAAATCAGAGATGGTACCGATACCGATCGTCAAAAATTCAGATCGGTTTCATCTTTGGTACAAAATAACATTGTTACAACCCTCAAAGAAACTAAAAAACCCGTTGCCCAAAACTTAGTCTGAAAACTATAATAACTAATATTTGATAAAATTAAACCATTCGACAGACAAGTCAAGTATATTTTTCTGAATCTCCAAGCCGAGCTCTATACAATGGTAAAATAGATTTTTTAATTTGTAAGTTTAACTTTTGAGACAAAAAAAAAAAATATTATTTTTTTCTACAGTATCGTTCGAACGGCTAGTCGCGTAAAATGAGCAATCCAACCTTTAAACTTTGTCAGAATGTTTTTTCTATCTACTGTCTCCAATTCCTCTTAGCGCAAACATTCCTAGACTGCACTATGAGTTTCCAAACACTAAGATTTTCAGTTTTTTTGGCGCTTCGAAAAAATAGTATATTCGAAATCAGCGCATTGAATTGCGTCGAATGATATATAACACAAAACAATTTTGAAGAAAAAAAAATGAGGGCAGGGGTCTCCCTGCTCAAGTATCTTTCGTTGGAAAACTTTTTTTTTTCGAAAAAATACTTTTCTGCATCATATTCAATCATTTTCGAGCAAGAAAGTCACATGTCTGCCTACCATACAAAAAATGCATACTGTATAGACTGTGCTCTTATGGATTTATCTTAATTTTGATGATTCTGATAAAAATTGACATTTCAGATTAAAGAATGTTTTCAAACGGATCATAATGTATTACATTCCAGTTTCTCTTTAGTCGTTCTTTGTTTTTAAAAATAAAACATTACAAAAATAGATATCTGCTCATTTTGTTATTCTATTCAGGTGAAAGTTGTGGTATTAATTCTTATTGTATTGATCGTATTCGATTTCCATGTCTTTTAAATTCTCGTTTAACTAATGTAACATGTTCAAATTCTCATCATGATTGTTGTACATCATCATTATTATTATCATCAATCGATTCATCATTATTTATTTCTACTATATCAAATAATCAAAGTTGGAATATTCTTTTACCAATATATTATTTTTCATTTCATGGTACATCAAAATGGGATAAATTTTTTTTTAATTCTTGGTTAAATATGGGTAGTGATATATCATATGATTTTGTTAATGATGAATTTTTATTTTCATGTACAGCTATATTTATTGAATCAACATTACTTTTAACACATGAATCATGTTTACCAACACGTTTAACAACAAATGATAAGAGATCAATATTATTTTCATTAATAAAAAAACTTGATAATGATGAATATGATAAAATAGCATTACATATTGATACATATCAAATATATTCACCATTTCAATTAATACGTCTTGCATATCAACATGATTTTCTTGTTAATAAAACATATAAAAAATTAAATAATTTAAAATTAAATAAAGAAAAAATTAATGAACTTTATTGTGTACTTGTTTTAAATCAATATGATATAAGACAAATTCGATTAATTAATGATTTTGAACGACAATTTATTTTCTATGATAATATTTCATTATTTTCATTTATTAATTCAAATGATAATAATAATAATGATGATGATGATGATGAATGGTTATTTGCACCAATTGTTTGTATTCTTAATGATAAACTTAAAGATTGGACTATTGTTGGTATTAGTGGACAACAACTTAAACATCAATGTAAAATAATTAATCAAATAAAATATTGTCAAATGACATTTGTTTATTCATCAACATGGATTTATTATGAATAAACAAAACAAACAAAACAAAAAACATTTCCTTTTCTTTTAGCCTACAATACATAAATGTAGACATCTGTCGTATTTGAATGTAAAATCCTAGAAGCTTAATTTTTTTTTACACACAAATATGTATTTTAAAATGCATGTGTACGACGTAGTTTGAAATATTCATTTTTAATTTGTTTCTTTTTTGTAAATGACTTGTGAACCAAAATAGATATCTTCGCACTTTTACTTGATTTATAACCTGCACTATGTTGACTTAAAAACGAAAATAGTGAATCGAAATTTGAAAAAAAGAGATCTACTGAATCTAGACTTTCTGAAAATCGATTTTCTATTTTTCTACGTAATCAGCAACCAGTTGTAAAAGTAAAACAAACAGATTCTAGAGTTTTTGATGAAAATTTTCAATGATATTCAATATATGCAGGTTTCTATGCCATACAAAAATATATGTATGAAACACGATTGTTAAGGAGCACTCCACACATATATTGATAGTTAGATAGAGTAAACTATCAAAATACTTATCAAACTCTATGACTGTATAGGGAACTTCGTCCATGATTTCAGTCCGTCATCGCCTGTGCGATGGGAAGGTGATAATTCACTTTTTTCGATATATTTTTCAACATTCCTTTTTAAATTAGTGGTTATTAATTAGTTATTTAAATAGTGAACTTAACACTCCTTTTAAATCATGTTTCACAAAATACATTCTGTTGAACTCATAAACAACAGAACAAAGAATACGTACAAAATAGCACTTGACGTCATTAGGGATTTTAGTAACTTAGAGGGATTACATCTGTTTGACTTGAACTTTTTTCTTGATCACAACTAATATTGCTCCTGAAAATTTCTATCCTATTTGAAAGTATTACAGAAAACATATAGCCAAGATATAAAAGAATTCCTAAGTTCGTCTTGGTAAAGTTAAGGTTCCAGCATTTTCTATTCGAACATAACAAACCTTGACATTTCTGTGAATACTTGTGCCTTGTAGGGTACATTTAACATTTTTTTTGTCAACCTTGTTTCCGATGTTGATATAAAGAATACTTTATATTACTTTAAACTATTCGTATTATCAATCGAAATAAAACAAGAACAATAAGAGTTTCAAAAAGTTAAAAACCATTTTTTTAGCAAATTCAATACTTCCTCGATATTTATTTGTTACTATTCACGTAACGAGTTCTAGAACATGTACAAGTATTTGAAATATCTCACACCTTATATGCTGTATTTTTCGCAATGTGTTAAAGTGTGCCGTATTTTACATTTTTTTAATAGATTCGTTTACCTTGCACTGATTTTATCTATCATACTTATTCATATATGTATGCGCCTCGTTTGTTATTTTGATGGCTTGATTGATAGTCTGATTTTTCTTTTCGATTATCTACATTCTCTTACATATCGCGTAAAGTATTTTACAAATAAACCGAATTCAATCACCATAATAGTAGAATTTAGACATGTATATTGAATATTGAATACATCGTATTAATTAAAAAGTAAGTAAAACTAAATAATATCGTGTTATAATTTGCTGAATTCTATGTAGATACAGGACAACTAGTGTCTATTATTTGTCACTACAATTTGCAGTTATTGATTAAATAACTCTTGCAATAAACTCTTTTAGACTTCATCATTAAATTTTTATAGATATTATCATGTTTTGATTACTTGCAGAATAATCTCTTCGAACAATCTATACCAACATATTCTTTCATTTTGCAATAAAAAGATAAAATTGATCTTGTAATCAAATGTTTCTATTTTGTTTTATATTCAATGTAAAGTTATTCAATCAATATATAGCGATATTCTTAAAGGACGTTTTCTTAATGACATAGGCTTCGATAGAAATATTCGAATTACGTACGTAGTAACATTATTTTCACTTGTATGAATAGGATATGGAAGTAGTTCATTATAAAGATTTATTCTGATATAAATCATGACTTAAGTTGATAATCGAACAAAGAATTTTAATAATTTTTTTGTTTAATTGTAATTAAACTCTAAATTCATAGTAAAAATAAATCGACAACAAAAACAAAAAATACATTTATTAATAGCTATTGTATCAACAATAATCAATCTCAAATAAATTAGTACAAAATAGATAATCAAATGCTTATCTATGGTTCATCATTGTGTTGTCCTTGTATTGATGCACTTTGAAAATATTCTGTCCCAATTAATCTATCTAATTAAATACACAGATATGTTTTGCTTGATAAGTATGAAATTCGATCTTGATTTTCTTATCAATAGCTATTCACAAAAAAATATGTATATGCATTAAAAAAAACCACGTCTTTATACGAAGTGCTAATATAACCACTGTAATTATGGACGTTTATATTAGTATTTCACGTAAATAAGTCGTTGTTTACCTGTAGACATATTTTACTTGAATACCTCTATTTTCAATCAACTCTCTTTCATCGATCTGCTTAAATCAATGATTTGGTATTTTCGTCTTCTTATATTGATCAGTATTACGTTTATTTTGGTTAACAGCAACAGCATTTACCATCACGAAGAAGAAGGTGATGATGGTGGATGAAGTATTCAATTATAATGTAATTCTTATCGTTTCTATTACAATTGTCATAAAGAAAGATGTACATAGGTAACGATGAAATGTGAACAGCTGTATGAAGATGATCATGGTAGTCGTGTCGGACGCGCTGCAGCAATTGTTGAAGTTCTTGAAGGCTTCGGAGGTACAAATAATCGACTGCTTGAGAAATGATTTATTCATATCATACAGATATATATATATGAAATAGTATGTAGAGATGTGTAGGGTTACTCTATGCTACAAGTTATGATTGGGTAAGGGTCAGAAAATTTCTCTCAGTGAGAGTATAGAACACGAAAAAAAACCTTATTCTGCATATATCTAATGGTATGAAGGCACAAAAAAAAGTGACTTATAAGCAAGGTTAATTCTTTTTCTCTTTCTACACTAGAAATATTTAAGTTATCACCAATAATGTTCGATATAAAGTATCATCATTCTCATATATATCTTTTTCTATTTAGCAAATTAGGTATACACATATATACATAGATTTACAGTTAGCAGATATAATTTAAATTACACAACATTCATCTAATTCACCTATATCATAAAGGTTGGATAATATATGTATATACACCTATTTAATACGGATAAGACCTTGAATACGAAATACAGTAGGAAGAAGACAAGACAATACTATATTATTATCATAAAGACCTTGTTGGATTAGGTCATCTATTCAGCATTAAGAAACTAAGTATACTATGTTGTAGAGTAAGTCGAGACACCTCGAACAGTATTTAGTAAATCTTATTTTTATAAGACATTGAAGAAATTGGAATCAATTTACTGATAGACAACTATGCACTATTTTTTAGAGCTTTTCACGGATTGTAAACACATATATTTAACATCTCCAACCATACTCTCTTTAATATGAACAAATCCGATTTTTGGGTGTGAGTGTAGTTGAAAGAAAGATTCATATTGTGCTGCCACATATCTCTCAATTCTGAATAGGTAGCCTAGTTCAATAGTATTCTTCATCACAATAATTTAATTTTGTCTTCTGTTTTGTTCTATTGCATTTCATATTCAAGACTTTATCGTATTAAACAGGAGTATTCGATCTCTACTATATAAACATTGAGTCGAATTAAATTAATGTTATATAGTTTAACTACATGGTTTAAAATAAAAAAGTAGTGCGAAGACTTTTGATGTGCACTATATATATATGTATTTTTTTAATTTGATTAATTTCATAATTATTTAGATCTTTAGGAAGTGATGGAAACATATTCGTATGAATTGTCTTTTTTGTTTTTAATCTAGATAAAGGAAAAATTAATGAAGTACCCATTGCACCTATCATTGGCAGTGCACTTGGCATTGCATTCGGACTTGCAATTACTGCAGGTTGCTGTGTATGTTGCTTTACAAGCATAATTCCATATCTGAAAAGTCGTCCATTACGTTCTCCCAAAGTTTATACACATGGATCAATTGCTATGGGATCTTTTTTAAGCAATTAAATTTTTATACCAGGTATATTTGCAAGTTATCATTATATATCTCGCAATTATTATGGACCATATTATATGACACTTGGATTCTATCCAGAGGCTGATAATATTGTTTATGGAAAAGGAATAGATGATTTAGGTACTTATTCACCAAGAACACTTCGAATGGATTTAATAAAACATTATCAAGTTGGAACAGAAAATTCACAAGAAAATTTAGGTCATAAAGTGATAATTCAGGTAAAATGGATTCATAGTAATCAACAATTTGAAGGCAAACATTATGTTCGAACAAGATTGCGTCAGAATGAAAATAGATTTATAATTCGATACGAAGGTGTATAAAGTTAACATTCATATTCGATATAATCTTGAATATGATCAATGCAAATTTTTTTAAATGTTTGATTAAATTTTTTTTATTTATTTATTTTGTACAAAACAACAAATAAATATGAGAGAAACGAAAAACAAAAAAACAAAATTGTCTTCTTAAATTCATTATACACTATTAAGTAAATCTTTTTTTTCGCATTTATGGATTAATTATCATCTATATTCATGAAAAAACAAATTTTGATGATGAATAATATTAATTATTCAATTGTTGTTATCTTTGACAAGCATTTTTCCATAATTCATGTCATTGATAATTATAAAAATGATATATTAGTTTTTTTCTTCATCTTCTTTTTATCAATTGTATTTAATTTAATTTGTTGATTTCTTATTTCAATAGTTTTTTGTGAACTAAAACAATGTATATTATCAATAAAAAATGTTTTAATTGTTTGTGGTCTTTTAAATTTATCCATAAGATGAATATTTTTACCAAATTCTACTTGATTTTCATCATTAACATTTTGTTCATCTTCAGTTTTAAGCATAGAAACTGAAGCATCATTATCTAAGATTTTTTTATTTTTTGATAAATTTCGTAAATATTTTATTTGTGCTGATGATATAAGTTCACCATGTCGACAACTTTCATGTCTTGAATGAATACTATAATTATAATTTATTGTTGCGTCATTTGATATTTGTAATTCCATTTGTTGTGATGGTGGAAGTAATGAATGTTTTTTAATATTCCATGATTTACTACGACCACATGTAAATATAATTTTAATAATTGAAATATATTTTCGTCGAAATAATTTTCCTGATAATGAATATAATAAAGAATTTTTTGATGAATTAAATAAATCAGTAAAAAGAAATAATGCTAATGATTGTTTTATTTGTGGACATGATTGTATTGAAACAACATATAATGTTTGACAATAATACATTGTTAAAAATATAGGTATACCCCATGATATTGTTATAACAGAAAAACTTTCAATTAGTATAACAAGAAATGCACGTAAATCATTTTTTAAACGATATTTATGACGATTTTTTTTTGTTATACGTTTTAAATATTTTAAATTTGGTGAAAAATAAATAATTTTTAATGATAATAAATTTGCTAATAAAACAATAAATGATGGTAATGCATTACCAAAAAATATTGCTAATGTATGTCGATTAAATGAAAATGATAATGAATGAAGAAAATTAAATATTTTTATATAAAATTTATACATTAATGTTATTTGACATGAACGATTTTCAAATAATTTTACTAATATATCTGATGATTTTGTTTTTTGAAGTTGTTCAATTAATATAGAAGTATTTGTTAAACTAAAATTATTATTAGAAATATTTGTTAATATATTTGTTATATTTTCAGATATATGAAAATCATCATTAAAAAGTAATGATTGTGTTAAAGAATAAAATTCTGATGAAATTTTTGTAATTGAACAATTGAACTAAAAAACAAAAAAAAAGAAAATTTCATTTCCGTATTCAAATATCTTTAATATATATAGAATATTTATTCTAATTATTGAATATCATAGATTCTTTTTCTTTTTTCTCCCTATGGATAGAGTCTGTTGAATACAAGTTTTTAGATCTGAACCCTTAATTTTAATAATAATATGAGTCTTCAAGTCGTTTCGAGAATACGAGATATTGTGTATCGATTATCTGCATTCTCACATACTCGACACATTTCATAGAAAGTAGCGAAGATAGTATTTCAGCTCATAATGAGTTGAGCCCATTGTAACTCAGGAAAAGGATTCCTTCAACATAGTTTTCAAAATTCTCATGGCGAGGTGACGAGAGAAGTCCTTCAATTGATACAACTATGATAAGAGCCTATCTTTTACATTATACATATAAACCAGCAGATTTGATATTCTTATTTCAGGGTAGATGGAAATCAAAAGATCTGAAACTATTCTCGTTAAGATTTATCTCTATGCAAAGTTTCAAGTCAAAATTCGAAAATCAGTTTTTCTATTACCATAGTATTTATTACTTTTAGACTATGATTTATTTTTTTAATCTACTAGTTCATATATTTCCACAAATTTTAATGTAATTAAAATAGGAATCAATCTTTGATGAACGAATAGAGGATCTATTTATATCTTAGTAATAGATCATCTCCATACACATATATATTTTGTAGATTTACACAGACTCCTCGAATGTAGGGGAAGGATGTAACCCCTTATAATAATTGGAAATAATTTATTATTATCAAGAAAGACGGAAAAAAAAATTTTTTGAAACCTTCAAAATATTTTCTTATAACATGAGCACATAGAATTATGCTTTCAAATATCAATCTTGGATCCGGTTTTTTTTTCTTCGAAATTCTATAAGGTCATTATCTGTATAGAAACTTTACATGTATCATTTTAGTTTACTCATTCTTTTACTTATTTATTTCAGAATGAAAGAATAAATATAAAAAATGAAGAATATTTTAACAAAATATTCTAAATAATTTTAATACGTAATTTATGTAGTTCTTCATACGATTTTCTCTATTAGTTTCCCTTTTAGAAGTACAAAAACACTGAATATTTACAAAATTTTAAATTAATTCACGTTCGTTAGAGCACTACAGAAGAGTTAATTAAAAAAATGACGAATGCTCATATACATAGAAGCTACTTCCATATTTAAGAAGTATAAATATGTGTATTAGGCTTAATATTTTATTAGAATATGAAAACTATCCGATTGTATCTAATAGCTGTATGTCAGGAATGATACGCCTTAGTTTCTTTAGTATTTATTATCATGTTTTTTTTGAAATATTATGAACATGACAAAGTCCTTGTTACAAATAAAAATTAACGAGGGACGTGCTCGAGATGTTTAGATCCGTTGTTTTACCGAAAATACTAAAATGAAGAGTTTTAACATGAAATTTTGCGTGTAATTAGATTTAATAATCATTAGACAATTCTGAATGTTTCAACGAAAACAACAAACATGTCTTTCTCGAGATATTCGACTACAATAGTAGGACACGACAATTGAATCTATTTGGAAATTGAATATCTCTATAAAGCCATGTTCATTTTCATTGAAACTTTCCAAATCATTTAATAATTATTAAATTTATTTATAGGAAAAATTTCAGTCAAACAGCCATAAGTCTGATAAACGATAAAAATCTTTTTTTTTCGTGCGTAACAGACATTTTAATGATTTTTTAAATATTTATAGTGTAATCGAAGGAATACATTCTAACGCAAACTATTGTTTAGAATAGTTCCATTGATTGAATTCAAGTTCTGCTAAAATTCAATATCTTCAATCTCATATGAATAACTTTCAAAACAGACAAACAAAATGTCAATACTTCGACAAAAGGAAACAATGGTTTTCATTCAGAATTTTTTTTGATGAATTTCTATGAATCTTTGAACCATTTTCTAAAGATTAAAGCCTAGATTAATATGCGGCTGATTTCTTTGAGTAGGTGACATAAATAGAAGAGTATTATGTTATTTTTTGAAACAAAATCTGTGGAGGATGTTGAAGCACAGACGAATAAATATTAAGATATTCTTTTCACAAATCACAATAAAGAAGTTTTTGTCTTTTCATTTAATCTTTATAACCAATGTTTTTTTAATAATCGAACATAATAAAAATATAATCCATTCTTATGATTAATTTATATTAGTAATGCATTATTAAATTATTATCAAAAAATCTATTCAATATTCTTTCAGTAGAAATTCTATATGATTAATCGAACACGAAGATTTGAAATATGACCTTATAATTTGAAATATAAAGACTAAATTACATAGATGTGTTCTATTCAATATGTATTAGATCATTTGGTCATCTGTTATAGAGTAAATATGTGTCTATGCTTAGAAAAAAGAAACAGATATTCGTCTTCTCGAAGTATTAAACTGCATGCCTTCGGAAAGATAAATTTGAATAAAGTATTAATCTAACACTATTGTCATTTATGAATAATCTTCTGCTTTAATATGATGTTTACATCTTATACTAAATGTAATCGGATTTATTTTCTTTCGTTAACGAATCAATAAGTAATTTCATAGAGATTAATGTAATATATTTTAACTGATTAAATTTCAATCGGATTTCTTCTTTGAAAGCAAATGGCTTAATCTATTACAAAAAAGAAATTATTTGCAATATTGTATATTTCTAATTTTGCTCATTTTTTTTAAAGTGATAATAAACTTAAAGAATACTTGATGCAATCAAACACTTATCTTTTGTTTTTGAATAAAATGAATATCAGTGTAAAGAGTGAAACTTTTTAAAAACTTATCATTAAATAAAAAGCACAAAAAAAAATACGTAAATTTCATTGAGATTTAATGGGAGAATATAGTTTAGGTAAAGTGTTCAAACTTATTTTCTCCAATAGTTTATCATGATTTGTTAAAGTTCGATTTCGATTATCTTATACTGTTAAACTTTTATTTTCACTTCTAGAAGCATATTCAATTAAATATAATAAGATTTTTCATTTCGTTAGTATTTAGTAAATAATTACATTATCTTTCATTCACAATAATTCAAATAAATTTATCATTTGTCTATTAGAAAATATATTTCTATACCTGATTTGTTATTGATATTGTATTATTAAATTGATTAATATCTAATGATTGAAAAATACAATAATATTTATCAATTAATTCATTATAATGATCAGATAAAAATTTTAAATAAAATTTTTTTGATGATTTATTATTCATTATTAATTGAAATATTTCCATATAAATATATGAATCAGTTGATTTTGAACATTGTATACCAATCCATTCAAAACAAGTTATTAATATAGCAATAATAAGACTACTTATACATGCACATATTGCACAAAAACGTGTTTCACGATATGATAATGAAAAAAATGTTCGTGAACGTTGTATACTTAATATAGCAAGTAATATTGTTGATGCTCGTGTCCATAAAACTTTATAAAGCATCCATTCAAGACAAAATTTTCCCATAAATGTATAAACAAAATCTGTTAAACTATGAATTATTTTTTCATTAAACATACATAATAATGATGAATTATCAATCATATAAGATTCACGATCAATCATTTCACTATAACCAATTAATAATGTTATTGAATCACTTATTAATAAACAAATAAAATAAATAGCTATAGGTTTATGAATAAATGTTTTTGAACAAAATACAATAATACAAAATATATTAGAAATTAAACTTAAAAAATGTATTAATGGCATTAATAAACACCAAATTATTCTTGGATTAATATATAAATTTGATGTTTGTGTATTATTCATTAGATTAATATCCATTAATGTATAATAACAATAACGAGTTATTTTGAATTTTTTTTACTGTTACATTGAATTTTATCTGAAAATAAACAAGATATAATATATCAGATTTTATTAATTAGTATTTGAAAAAAAAAACACAACCATTAAAAACATCATGAAAATATATATCGACTTGTTCAAGCGTAATGCGATGATGTTTTGTCTGCTGTGTCTCCAAATTTTCTCAGTAACAAAATCACTTAGAAATTTGAGTTTATTTAGCAAAGCCATTCTGAAAATCATAGCAAAAATATACAGCGTAACACGATGATTGACAAGGGACAAAAATTTGAGAGTGTTGTACTCGTTCTTTATTTTTCTCCAAATGTATATTATCTTGAACAAAATATTTCACAATAGATCTGTAGTAAATACTTTGGAGTATTAATGTGAAAAAAGTTTTTTTTTCGAAAAGGTCTCTCATTAATAATGAAACTTAGGTCACATTAACGTTACGCGATGACGAAAATTGGAAAAATAAAACTCTTTTTTTTTGCTATTAGCGTATCCACAATGGTGAATAAGTGCGAATTAAATCTCAAATAGCTTTTATACATTTTCTTTCTTATTATATCGGATAATACTGATGATATTTAGATCTGATTTTTCAAACTACTGGCATTGAAGGTGACGCGTTACGTGTACAAGCCGATATATGATGTTCTTAAAAGGAAATGATACACTTATTTAGTGATATAATACTTTTTTCCTATGGTCTTAATTTTGTGTAAGAAAATCTTCTTTTTTTTTCTTTTCTTGCTTGTGACATCTTTTACTTTGCGTCATCGAGATATCTTTAATAAGATCATTTGACATGAGATTTATTGAACTGTATGATCCATTTAATCAAAGTATAATTGAGTCGTATCCTTCAGAAAGCAGTTCATAAGGTTTAACAAGTCAAGAACACTTACATACCTATTCATGGAAATATTCATATTCAAAATATATGAAAATAGTGCAATTCTATGTAATATTCTCATCTATATTTTATCGATTTAATATATGTGTTGGCAATGGAAAGAAAAAAAAAGTGCAAAATGAAGAAAAAGAAAGATACAGGAATAATTAGTTATTTTCAATAATTATTAAGACATGCTTGAGATACGTACTTTTAAATAAGTGCATATTTATAGACTTGGATAAAGATGGGCCGATCTTTTGTTCATAATTAGATGCCGAAGAAATGTATCGTCGACAATTTCCGACACGCTAGTTATAAATAGAATGTCATTTGAGATTTCTCTCTCTCTCTCTTTTTCTCCAGTCTCTTATCTATTTTCAAAACCTTTGTCATTACTTATAAAATATAACACTTATAATCATATAAACGAGATAGTTATTTACACTTAAGTACATTTTATAATGTTAGAGAGAAAGAAAAAATTAAAATTTGAAAATTTATATTCTTATTATTGTTTTTTTTCTTTTCTTTTTTTCCTATATAAATCTATCCGTTTGATACATCATGTCATAGAATAAACTAAATAAGACCTATATGATCAGACAATTAAATTAATAACTCACACGGAAACATAAATCTAACGAACCAAAGTTTTGAAGTAATTTACTCGAGAAAAAAAAATATTGTCTTAATTAAGAATAATACTAATCACCTTCCAAAGCAAATAAGCACAGTCATAAACGACTATTTTAGAATGTTTTTTTCGCCGTTTAGTATACACAGTATTACGACTCTATTGTAAACGGTTGAATACTCGATTTTTAGATCGTTCGAAGATCAATTATCAATTGTGTACGACACGATAAAGTATGGTCGTAATATTGCGCCTACCAAACATCAATTTACAGCTATGAGCGATCGCAAACTGTATGAAATGATAGTACTATACAGTACCATTTTTGATCGTCTCAACGACTGTAATCATTGTCCTGAACTCATCGATATGTTAGCTAACAAAGAAAAACTAGTAGATTTTCGTAATATTCAATTTAATAATCAACTAGAAGGAAAGAAAAAGACTATAAGTTAAAAGAATATAAAACCATAAAAGATTAACTGAATCCTAAACAAATAATTATTTCTTTATTAATATTTATACCTTCTTATTCGAAGAATATCAGTGCAAACACAAAGAAATAGAATGTAAAATTTTTTCTATTACTATTAAAAAAAAATGCATCATAATAAGTCTTAGCACATATATATATATATACTCAAAACGATGAATAAAATGAAGTGTACTAGAACTAAATTGCATTAAGGACATAAATGATAAAAGTAACGATCACTTACTTTTTTTTTAATATATATATTTCTAGAAAAATTAAGCTATAAAGATTTTCAAGGTTATATTTTAAAAATATTTTCTAACTATTATATTAATAAATTTTCATTTTCAAAAACAAAATGAAATTAATAATATAATATACTTATTTAGTTTATAACTCTCTTACACAATTATTTATAAATGAATATACATTATCATTAATTAATATTTTTTTTTATCAGTAATCTTTGTCCTAGGTATAATTATAATTAACTCGGCTCCTACCATTACTTGATTAATATACTTCTTTCTTACCAAAAATATATATTATTCTTAATTAAATGAATCAGAAAGTCAAGTATCATTTTAAAAACATTACCAACAATGATTTTAATTAGCGGTTCATATCATATAGACTATACAAAAATATATATATATATATATATACTAAATGAGATTAAGAGAATTATTTTTGTTTGATTTAGAATAGAATTAAAAAACAATGTCAGATGTTTTTTCTTAGATAAATAAAAAATTTGTATTTAAAATAATATGAGATTTGAAATATTCTTATCTTGTTCTTTTTAGAAAGTAAGATTACAAAACAAATAAATTCAATAGAATAATAATTCTGATGGTATTTTCTTATATGAGAATTTGTTTTATTATATTTGACATCTAAGGTCAATGTTTTTTTGTTAGATAAACATACTTAAATACACAATGTTACAAAAAAAAACCAGACTATTTTATATTTAAGAATAGAATAATCTTTTTTTGAAAAGCACACTTCTAAAATAGGAATCCTTATTGACAATAAAAATGTTTATCGAGATCTAGATTTACAAAAAAAACAAACTACTTCTTAATTTTTCACACGCACTTTTTTTTTCAAATATTTGAAATAAAAATGATGAGAAGTGTTAGAATCAATTATATTGTGTTATTGAATAACTATGTTCGCAAAAAGCTTATTTCTTAGTTTCTAGTTGCGTGCTATTATTTATTGTCGGTTATTATTTACGTCAAAGAATTAGTGACGTTTATATGCTAGTATGTTCTTTTTATTTAACGTGGAACTTTGTAATAAAATGTGTAAAAATCATCGAAAAAGTCGAATAAATAATTCTGTACTTTTTAATAAATCAAAACCTCGATATTAAATATTCAATTATTTTATTTCTTTCTTTTTTCTTTCGATAGTCATAGATTAGAATAAATTATTTTACTGTTTATTAAATTTACACACCTACTAGATGTAATAATTATAACGCTTGTATATAATTAGAACAGAAATAAAAAAAAAAAAGAAATTTGTTAAATCGTAGGTAACACCGTAGTAATTCAATAGTCTTATTATTTATTATTACCTGATTCATACTGTTTTGATGCAATGTTATTATATCTCGTTTACAAATGAATGTAACTCTGATCAATTAGATAATATGATTTATATAAAATCGAATATAAAATATGATGAGAAATTGAATTAATCGTTCTTAATGTCCTAAGTAAAAGAACATACTAATAATTTAAATGAAAAATTTTCTGAATGTGTGAACTTGAAAGAAAAAGACAGTAGAAAAAAATAAGAATGTTTTCGATTATGTCAAAATGATATCACATGACAGCACATGTTGTAACATGTTTCCTGTATGAATAAAATTTAAAGACGGGTATGCATATATCTGCTTCCGTCGGTTTTAATGATAAGGTCTTTACGGACAGGATATAAAATTAATTATCGGGATTTTCTTTTCTTTTCTTTTTTTTTTTTATTAAGATTAATCCTATGACATAAAAAGATATTTTAAGTATGAGATAAAAATATCTTTCAATCATGTACATGTTATTATATTAATTTTTTCCAAATTTATTGCAATTGTTTATAACATTTTCAAGTATAGTCAAATGTTTTCAATAATGTAGGTTTTCAAATATGTGATTATTTTATATCTCATTAATAATGTAGAAATATATATTTGACTATAAATGAAGAATTTTGATAACAAGTAAGTATTTTTTTTTTTTACATAGTACAATTCATAATGTCTCTTGATTCTTCTTGGAACATCACTTCTAATGAATATAACAAGTCTTACTTATATCATACATTGTTCTATGAATTAGATCTGATAAATTATCGCATTAATTTAACTAATAATATACATATATTAATTACTTTTTCAAGTATCTGCTTATTTATATTATTACCTAGAGACCATATTAGAATATTAAAACCTAACTAACACAAAACTATTGACGTGTTAGATTGAGTATTTTTTCACACGCAAATATTCAACGAAGCTATTGTCACTCTTGGGTACATAATGATATTGCTCACGGCAAGACACAAAAATACTAACATAGTAACAAGAAACAAAAGCCACAACAATTAATATCTGTCAAAGAAGAAAAAATTCATTAAACTAAAAAAAAAATATATATTTAATTTTTGATATTAAGTTTTTTATTAGCTATTTGAACATGAAATAATTATGTGGTAACATTTTGATTATCTCATTTGATTTTTATCTTTCATCAAGATTAATAGAAGAACCAATGTACTTCAATACAAAAAACAGTTTACAGATATATGAACTTGACAAGAAGAAAAAAGTGCATATTAAAAAAATGAAATATTCTAGAATTCATCTGCATTCATATATTTATTTTCTTATATTCTCTTACTTTGAATTATCATTTTGTATTTGATTCAAAGCAACTATAAGTCATACTTCTGGA